TAACAAGCTTCACTGATAGGAGGTCCCTGGGGGTAGAGTCCTTCCCTTTTGCCTTTCTCCCTGACAGAAACAGATCTTTGTTTGTCCTAAATAACTTGTGCATATTTGTGCAGGAACATCTAGGAGATGTGAAGTTCTGTGTAGCAACGTGGCTTCAGAACAGGGACTCTCAGAGCATGGGTCAAACTAGCATCACAGGTCTGGGACCTTTTCAGAAATCAGATTCTCAAGCCCACCCAGACCTAGAGAGAATTGTAGTGATACATTATTTATGATTTATTAAAGCTTGCCTGAGGATTCAGAAAGCAAAGTCAGCTGCAAGCTATAGAGATCAGGCAGTGGTGATACACAACTTTAATCCTAGCAGCCAGAAGCTAGGAGGTAGTGGTACACACCTTTAATCCTAGGTCTCAGGATTAAGAAATAGATGGATCTCTGTGAGTTCAAGGCCACCCAGATATACAAGATTGATCCAGTCCTAAAGAGAGACAGCTCACACAAAGATGATCTCAGCATCTGGGATCACATGTCTTTAACCCAGCATTAGGGAGGAATATAAGACAGAAGAAGTAAGATCTCATTATCAGGCATTCGTTCTCCAGCCACATTGAGAGTAGGAATGCTCCAGCCCTGTTAGAGGTGAGAACTCTCTGGTAGCTTGGCTGCTTTGCTTGAACCCCAATATCTGTCTCAGGGGTCCTTTTATTATTCGTGCTATAGAGAACTGTGTGTGAATGGGACCCAGCAAGTGGGGGTGTTTTAACACACCCACTGGAAGGGTCTGGCAACCCCTGTTTCAAAGGATGCTTAGAGAATATCACATTGTGGCCTTTCTGTATTTTCAGGAGGGGTCCTAGCAGGCTAAAAGCTTGAGGGATGGGTGCTGAGCTGTGTTGCTTCATTGCTTAAAGCTGGCAAGTGCAGTGGTGGTGTGGACCAACCTTAACTTCAGGAGGCTGCTCTGACTTCCTTTGTGGTTGTGACTAACAGACAGTAGGAGGGAGAGTGCTGCAAACCCCGTTTCCAGGGTTACCTTCTTGCTACTGATAACAGGCAGGAAATTAAAACAATCTGTGATAAAGCTTTGTTCTTATTATCCACAGATGGCAGCTTTCAGATATGTGGGAGTAAAACATAAGTAAATATAGCTGGGAAACTTCATTATTGAAGAAAAATGACTTGGTGTGGTCAAGTTGATAGCCTGGGTTCTTTTTAATGAAATGGGACGTAGGCAACATACCTGGGTCTCAGTTCTACACAAAGCATTAAGCCTTATGGGGACAACTAGGTTTCTTCTTGGTTTGATTCTTAGTATATGAACATTTATATGAACTCAAAGTCAAAACTACATAACATGAGCTGGAGAGATGGCTCAGTGGTTAAGAGTATTTGCTGCTCTTCCACAGGACCCAAGTTCAGTTCCCAGCACATCTTGCTTCAGCTCCAGGGGATCCAGTGCCCCCTTGTGGACTCCACAGGAACCTGCACTCACATGTTCAATAGCCCACTCCCATACACATAATTAATTTTTTTTAAATCTTTTTTTATTTTTAAGAGACACTAAATCATTTTAATTGAATTAAGTATTTTAATTTGCTAAAGAGAATTTGTCAGACTCTTAAAATAGGAATAAAATAGACCATATAGTACAGGGGATATGTTCTTCGATCCCAGTGCAGGTCTGAAGCCACAGTGTTAAGCCCTCGATAACGCTGTGTTTTATCCTATGCATGAATACCTATGGCAAGTATTTAAAAAAATCTTAAATATGACAAAGTATATTTTAAAACAATTTATTTCCAGCTGTTTCCCCTTCTTATTTGTAACCCTTTATAAGTAATTGTTTTACTAGCTTTGTCATTTAGACTTCTACTGTTTCTTTTGGGGGATAAACACATTCATATGTTACACATGAAAAAAAATTAAGTGAACTTTATTAAGGTACAACTAATACCTCCCAATTCTACAGAAGACGTGAATTGGGACACATATATACATATATACACATACATAGTAAACTAGCCACTAGGATAACAATGTGGGCCTTGTCTACACCCCAAAAAGTTTCTTTCTGTCATTTTGTAGCCAAATCCTTTCCCACTTCTCTGCCTCCTGTAAGTCACCTATCTTCTCTCTGCTGCTATGCTTTAGTCTTTCCTAGAGTTTCATTCCTAGGACATTCATGTGTCGCTGTGAAGTTTCTTCAGATTACACATAACTGAACTTAAGGGACTAGCTAGTTCACGACGAGGAGACACAGCCTTCTCAGGCCACAACTGCATATGTGATCTGTCATTGGCTGAATGTTGCTGTGCAGTGCACAAGAGTAGCCTTTCATGCTCCCATGTGACTTTATGCCACTCAGAGACTTGGCATATTGTTATGTGTTGGTAGTTCATTGTGTTTTTCACTGAGTCATACTCCACTGTTTATGCATTGCAGTTGTTGGATATCTTTTTTTAAATTTTGAAGTAATTTTAGATTTCAGACCAAATTGCAAAGATGGTTCAGTGAGTTTTCATACACCATTTTACCAGCTTCTACCAAAAAAGATCTTACATGCCCACAAGTATAGTTACTAACACTTAAGTCAATGTTGGCTCCTGCTGTTAACTACATACTTAATTCAGGTTCTGATTTTAGTTTGTTATTTTTTTTTCTTTTCCTGAGACAGGGTTTCTCTGTGTAGTTTTGGAGCCTATCCTGGCACTTGCTCTGGAGGCCAGGCTGGCCTCGATCTCACAGTGATCTGTCTGCCTCTGCCTCCCGAGTGCTGGGATTAAAGGCATGCACCACCAACACCCAGCCTGATTTTAGTTTTAATTACACTTGGCTATCATATTTCACTAATCTTCTCAACTTTGACAGTTTCACAGTTTTTTCATGTTTTTTTTTAAATGACCTTAATGATTTTTTTTTTCCCAAAGGAATACACTTTGAGCAGTTCCTGATGGTGGACTCTTATCATCTCAGCTACTTGGGAAGCCAAGCTGTGAGCTGGGAGGGTTAGCCTAGGTAACTTAGTGAGATTTTGTCTTGAGAAAAAAAGGAAGAAGAAACCTCTACTTAAAATGATCTTATAGTGTAGCATATTCCTCAGTTTTAATACTACGCAGGTATCCAATATCATTATGTCCTAGAAATGGCTGATTTGCCCCAGTCTGCCAGGTTTCTCCACTGAAAGATGCTGTCTCCCCCATGGTGTGTCTTGCCTAAGGTCCAACAGCCAGCTGGTGGCAGAACCAGATTCCAACTTAGCCTAATTTGAGGCTGACTCTTATATGTGCTATGTAGTTGTGAGTACATTGACGATTTCCTTTGGCAGAGAAAATGGACGCCTGGCATCCCATGATTTTCTTTCTTTATTTAAAAAATAATTTATTTAACCTTTATTTTATGTGCATTGGGGTGAAAGTATCAGATCCCCTAGAACTAGAGTTACAGACAGTTGTAAGCTGCCATATGGGTACTGGGAATTGAACCTCGGGTCCTCAGTGCTCTTAATCGCTGAGCCATCTCTCCAGACCCCCCATGATTTTCTTTTCTTCATTCAGAAACAATGTTTTTTGTCAGTCTCAGTCATATTTCTCATGTGACTAAAGATTTTAGTGAGCTGTACATGGCCTTATGATGATATTAAACTCTTGGAGAATTCAGAGTACTTCCGGGAATACCAAGGAGCTATATTTAAATTGCTTTCAGAAATACAATCAAAGGTTAGGGCAGAGTGTCCTGCATAGGAGACGGCTGACAGAGAAGGAATATTTAGATAATGACAGAGAGCTTGTCCCTGCCCCGTACTATGCTGTTCTGTGTGTTTAAACCCTACACACATCCATTCTTGCTGGCCACACTAGTGACTCTCCTACCACACAATCCCAGGCGACTCCAAATGGATGAGCACAGTGGCTTATGCATGACTCAGTAGCAGAACTCCTGAAGGTCAGGCAGTGGGGGTGGGTGTTTGCACATCTCTGATTCACAGCCTGCCTTTCTAGGGGGGGGGGGAGAAATAGCTGTGGGTGGCTGCAAAGACATGCTCATCTCCCCACACCCATCTTGTTGTACTGTGTAGATTGGGTATTCCCCACATCCTTGAATTCACACACAGGCTGTCTTGGTGTTATATGGTCTGCCAAGCTATGAGATCAGGGTTTTCCTATGCATGTATCTGTTTTATAAAAGTGAGAAAACACCCTCGGTGTAGCATCTCTTATTTGACGATGACACATGACATCCCTGTACAGTATTAGGGCCTCCACCAGTTTGTCAGTACCATGGCTATACTTCAGTGGCTTATATTCCTTTATCTTTCTGTAGCCAGAACAGGGTGCTCTTGCAGGTTGAGCTCAGTGTTCCCTTCAGCATCATTCGCCTTTGCAGATGAGAAAGGGACACTTAGTAAGTACAGCTTTTAAACATACAGCATTTTGTTTGAAATGTCTCTTGTATGCCTGGCCATATGTCTGCGGTTCACAGCTTACCTAAGGCTGCTGCTCCCCAGAGAAGCACACACGTGCAGATTATAGGATTTATTTCTTTAGGAAGGCAACCATTTAGAGTAAGTCTGATGCTTCCCCAAATAACTTTGGAGAACTTTGAGAAGTGTAGAAAGTTATTTGGATATAATAGAGACCAAGTTTACAGGCATATTAGATCTTAATGTTTTTCTCATAGGTGGCTTTGTACACATATTTTAGAAAATGTGAAAGTGGAAAGAGTGACCCATCTCTACCTCCATAAACAGCCATTATTTTGTTATACCTACTCCTCTCTTCCCTTCCTCCAGCTCATGATACAAATACACTCTGAAATCTGCATTTCTCGTGAAATATTGTCCCAAGGATTTTTATATCAGCTAAGGAAAAATACTGCTCACATAGGAGGGAGATTTAACTCACTTTCATTTTCTTAATGTTTTAGTGAGGGTTTAAAATTATTTACTATTTTTTTGTATTTAACCAAACTGGCTTTTCTCTTTTGTGTTTTCCTGGTTTCAGATGTCCTGAATGATGCTATATTTGATGAGGATCATGATGAGATGGTGATTGTAAAGGACATTGATATGTTTTCCATGTGTGAACATCACCTGGTTCCATTTGTGGGAAGGGTAAGTTCTTCTTGTTGCCTAGTAATTTAAGAATGTATAATGAAAGTTTTAAATTAGGATAATGATATTTAAAACTGTCAACTGATCCTTAATATTCTCTATTTATTTAGGTATTAAAAAAATACCTAATTTGAGCTAACCTAATAATTGGAAATTTAAGCTGGGCAGTGGGAGGCTGCATTCAGAAGGCAGAGGCAGGCAGATCTCTGAGTTTGAGGCCAGCCTGGTCTACAGAGTAAGTTCTAGGACAGCCAGGGCTACATGGGGAAACCATGTCTTGAAAAATCATTTTTTTAAAAAAAGGAATTTAAAAAGAACCAGCCAGGAGTGGTGGTGTGTACCTGTAACCTCAGCACTCCTGAGATAGAGGCAGGAGGATAGAGTGTTTGAGGCCAGCCTGTGCTATATAGAGAGACCTTGTCTCAAAAACAAACAGAACAAAACCCAAAGATGATCAGAACCAGCCTTTTGTCTTTAATGCTGTGTTAGTAGGTTGGGATGATGAAGTTAAAATTTAATCCATTAAGGGAGGTTGCTGAAGCTCTGAAAAGTTTGTTTTATTTTGAGTGAACTGTTTGATCCAAGACCCATGTGTGCAGAGTGTGACATCATGACATAAACAGGTATGACTGCAATGTTTCTAGAGGTAGAGGTTATGGTATTAGTGGATTTAATTGGATTTTATCCCTTTTATAGTAGGAAAAGAGAATCCAATGAAAGCTAGATAGTAATAAGTCATGAAGTTGTCATTTAATGAACCGTTGAGAATATGTATGTTTACAACAAAGAAATGTCCTGTTATGCCCAGTATCATAATAATTTAATTTTATTTTGACTTTCTGATATTAATTTTCCAACAGAAGTCTTGTAGGGAATAATATGAATATTATCTAAAGTTAATAGTCTGCTTCACTTTTTTGTTAAAATATTTTGTTTTGTTTTCTTATGGTTGTAAGACATAGAAATAGCACAACACATAAAGATGTGTTTATTTTCATTGTTATACATTATTGCATTGTACAAACTCCAATTCAGTGCTTGGTGGACATTTGTGTATTCTTGCAATTAAAAACAATATGGTTGCCAACTTTCTTTTGATGCACATATGCATACATTTTTGTTAGGGATGTATCTAGGAGTAGGACTGTAGGATCATAAGTGTGTAGTGGGGTATTTGATAGCACTGTGACACCCTGAGACTGTGTTAATAAAGTTAACCTTGAATCGGGGGTGAAGCCAGGATAGCCAGGGCTAAACAGAGAAGCCCTGTCTCAAAAGAACAACAGAACAAAACAAAGAACCTGGGTCATATAGGTTCATGTTCTTTAAGAGTCATCATGTAGTGACCCTTTTCTTCTGTCAGGATGATGGAGCTCTCCAGCAGCTTAGAAGGGACAACTAAGAGTAAAAGTTCATAGAAACAACTGTGGGTCAGGGCTCAGGGATGGGATTCTTAAGGTTATGTGACACATGTAATAGCAACATTTATATATAGTTTCTGCAATTTAAAGGAGTCTCTTCTGATTATTCCTTGATGTTTTCTTCCTTTTTTGAGTGTCTTTTTCCTAGATAGAGGAAAAACTTTCAGGTTTGAATCAAGAAGTGAACTTTACCCAGCAGCATTACAACTTTACTTTAGTCATTTCAGCAGCAAGTCTGTTCTTATATAGTTTTTGTTGTCTTCTACAGTCTCCATATGCATGGAACTGCTTCCCAAGTTTTAAAGATGCATTGTCACAGTGATAAACTTACATATAAGCATGCTATGGTCTTCCTGTATCCATTTATGTTGTTACAAAGAAATGCTGTTCTTCATTTAACTGATAATTTCTCTTTTCCCTGAAGGTCCACATTGGTTACCTTCCTAACAAGCAAGTCCTTGGCCTCAGCAAACTTGCCAGGTAAGAATGAGCTTTATGGAATTGTTCCTATCTGCTGAGACCCTCAAGACTTTTTACCTCCACTCTGTGGATCTAACCTAGAAGTTATATTGTAACTTAAAATCTGTACTTGCAGCTGGGCAGTGGTGGTGCACGCCTTTAATCCCAGCATTCAGAAGGCAGAGACAGGTGGATCTCTGTGAGTTTGAGGCCAGTCTGGTCTACAGAGTGAGTGCCAGGACAGCCTCCAAAGCTACACAGAGAAACCCTGTCTTTAAAAAAAAAAAAAGAAAAGAAAAAAGGAAAAAAAAAAAAAAACCACAAATCTGTACTTGCAATCCTACTTTCAAGATCAGAAACACCGTGTCTCTTCCTTCTGCTCTTTCACTGCCTGTTCCTCTCTTCCCCCAGCCCACCACTGACATAGGAGCTCACAAATTTGTAGTTTTCCCTAACTGGAAAAGATCCAAGATTACCCACAGTCCAGCCCTGGGTCTTAAGGGGGGGTCAGTTACCAAGGAGGGGAAGAAACATGTGCATGGGTCTAACTGCACTGTCTTTATATTGGGGGTGGGGCAGGGAATAGAAGAGCATTTGCATATATGAGGAACAGTGTCTAATGAACTGTAGGAAATACTTTTGTGTTTATATAAGTCATGTAGGCAAAACACAGATCCAGAAGATTAAACTTGGTTTCATATTTATAACAAGGCCTAGTTTTAGGAAGACATGTCACACGCTTCTTACCTTTATTTCCAGTGAATACAAGTAGAGGTTTTTGATTATCTCATTGTTCAAGGTTTTCTGCCAGGGTGTATTCTTTTATGTTCATGAATTGAACAGAAACAAGTAGAAACTACACCATGTTAGTGAGTTTTCCCCATTCTCATGGTGCTAGAAAGGGCTTGTGGTTACACAGCCTTCATATGTTCATTATCGGGTTTTCCCTCCATTGTGAATTCTTCATGTTATCAAACAGAACTGGATTGATGGATGCTTTCCAACGTTGCTGACACAGATAAGTTTTCTCTGTTTGTGAGGGTACAAAAAGAAAAAAAAGTGAAGGATTTCCCACATTGTTGTACAGTAAGGTTTTTCTGCACTGCACACTCATTTATGTGTTGGAAAGTTACTCGTAAAAAAACATTCATAGGATTTCTGTCTACTGTGAATCCTTTCATGTGAATGAAAGAACTGGGGCAAGTGAAGGATTTCCCTTTTGTTTACACAATGGGTTTCTCTCTAGTATGAGTTCTACTGTGTCACAGAAAGAATTATAACTAGTGAAGGTTTTTCCACATTCCTTAGATACAGGTTATTTCTGTGTGGTGTGAATCATTTCATGTTTCAGAAAGCACTGAGGATAACTGAGGGTTTCCCACCCTCCTTACACTTATGTTTTCTCTGCATATTCCTGATATCCCTGGAACTGAACTCCAGTGATCATACTTAGGGATGAATGGCCAAGTGGGACTTTTGTACTCTCATTGTTCCTGCGTGGTTTTACATGAGGAGGAGTTTTCTTATTTACTGTATGGTCTGGAGACCAGGTAAAGATTTCTCTGTATGAACTGCTTTTTTGGTGTTCCAAGTCTCTTTAACACTTCAGTGTCCTGGCCTTTCCATTATTTTCTGTTTCCAAGTTTTTAGAGTGTTGTGGTGTCTTAACCAGGATTCCTGGAGGTCTCACAGTAATGGGAGCCAAGCTACTTGGGGACTCTCTTAGCATGTGAGATATGTGTATATGTTTTAAACTTTTGACAACTCTGTATATGGGGCTCTGGCTTGCACTTGCTTTTCTTTGCCCCTGTGCCTTGTGTATTTTTCGGGTCCTGCAGGCTAGTCCATTTACTTCTAGATCATTTGCCTCTGCAGTTACAGGGCGTATCACTTTTTACTTTGCTTACTCTCATCTTTTTTCCTTACATGTTCATGAATTCAAAAGAAATCATTTTTGAGCTGGGCATGATGGCATACTTTTAATCCCACCACTCAGGAGGCAGAGACAGGCATATCTCTGTGAATTCAAGGCTACCCTGGTCTGCATAGTGAGTTTTAGGACAGTTGGAGCTATGTAGAGAGACCCTGTTTCAAAAAATAAAACAAAGCAATAACAAAAAAAAATCTGCTCCCACTTTTATTTGAGATTTGGGGAGAATAGGTGATGTGTATACATGGCAATTTGTGTTTAACTGGAAGTTAATGTGAGGGTCTGTGTTCATATATTTCTGCTAGGCCCTATCCACCAGTGTTTTATTGCTCCTAAATGTTCTTTTGTGTTATAATGGAGTTTGTGAATCCTGGGTTATCTGGAGAAATACTGGGAGGTAGGGGTGTGTGTGTGTGTGTGTGTGTGTGTGTGTGTGTGTAGAACCAAATGAAGGGGTAGGTAATGAATGTGCAGTCATTGCATTTAAAGCTAAGTTTAAATCAGTTGATTGAGGTTACAGTGACCTCAGTCACAATTGGAACAAGTGAATCTGTGACTGACTGTTCTGTGGCTTTGATGGGTTATAGTGAGATTTGCAGTAGTCCTGACATGGTAGTCCTCATCTTTTCCATTTCTTTTTTGGAGTCTATAAAAACCTGTGGATGTTTGAATGAGAATGTCTCCCATAGGCTCATGTGTTTGAACACTTGGTTCCCAGTTATTGGCACTGTTAGGGATCTCGGATGTCAGGCCTTGGTGAAGGAAGTACGTCATGGGGGTGGGCTTTGAGGTTTCAAAAACCTCATGCCATTCCCAGTTTCCTCTCCGTGCTTAGTGCTTTTAGTTTAAGATGCGAGCTCTCAGATTGCTGTTCCAGGTTCGGTGTCTGCCTGCTGCCATGCCTCCCCACCAAGATGGCAATGAATTCTTATCCCTCTGGATCCGTAAGCCCAGATCAACTCCTGCCTTTATAAGTTGGCATGGTCATGATGTTTTATCACAGCAACAGAAAAGGGTAGTCTTTCCCCAGTTACTTACTTCCAAATAAAATTAAAAATTTATATATATCAACTATGAATAATAGTACCATCAGCATGCTTATTGTATACAATCATAGGTCTAACATTCTGGTATTCTCTTTTTCATCAAGAATGTAAACTCTATGTAAAAATTCACAGAGAACTATAAGCTTACATGTAGTCTTTATATTTCCTTCTCTCTGGTGCTGTGGATCAAGCCCAGGGCTTCATTCAGTCTAGGCAAGTGAGTGGCCCTGCCACTGAGCCATAGTCCCAGACCCCTGAAGACCTTGAAGACCATACTTTGCTGATCCTGACTGGCAGTATGAGCAATAGTTTCTAGGGTGATCCAGTGGGGTCATGGAATGAATGATGCCTCAGAGGCACAGGAGGACAGTCTTGATTCTGTCCTTTCATGGTGAAAAGATCGTAAATAGTTAAATCTTCCATGAAGCAATACAAAGAAGCTGATTGTTCAAATGAGAATTTGCCATTGTGCTAATAAGATTAACAGGAATAAAACAGAGCACCAAACCAAGGCACTGAGTGTGTGTTACTTTCATGTTTTAAAAAATTGGAAGAAAGGGTCTGTTAAACAGAAAAGTCAACTGAGATTTTTATCCAGCTGCCCATTTCTTTTAGGAAGTTAGGATGCTTAGAGAGTAAGGAGTAATAAAGAAGGCTACGTCTTAGCAAAACCTTCCTGTTCATTTTAATCTTGTGTGTGAAGTTTGTTGTGTGCTCACCTTTAAATGCATGACCTTTCTGTTCCTGTAAAGTCAAATATCAAGCAGGAAGGCTTTGTGTTACAGGAGGATACCAGAAGTGAGCTGGTTTGGTTCTAGGGGAAGTCTAGAATAAATTCACATCAAATAGAAATCCTCTTTGTTGCTAAAAATCTATTTTCTTGCCCTAGAACAATTGAATGAATATAATTAAATCTTGAATTTGGAATTGTAGTTCCTGGGGATAGCCTTGGCCAACCTATGAATTGAGTTACCTGTATGGAAGGGCTCTCTAGGCCAGCTACTGCCATGGCCAGAGAGAAGGAAACAGCCAGAAAGTGAATGGGATGAGGTAGCTGTAGCCACAGGAATGTACACCCTCATGCCCAAGGCGGGGGCGGGGGAGGGTGTTCAATCCAAAGTGCCCAAAACAGGGTTATTTTGGAACTCTTAAGTGCAGAGAAACCATGATGATAACAGTCATGTGTCAGTGCTAACAGAGACTGAGGCAGAGGGATACACAGAATCCTAAATGAGTTGCGGTTGGTGATGATGGAGAGATGGCTCAGTCCCACAGGTTCTAAATATCTCAATACTTTAAAGTCCAAGTTTTCTTTAAAAATCCAACAGCTCTCTAAAAGTTCAAAGTCTCTCAACTGTGGGCTTCTGTAGGAAAAAAATATAAAAAATTAGATAAATACTTTCATATTCCAAGAGGGAAGAACCAAGGGACGGTTACACAAAGATCCAAGCAAAGCCATAGTGCAGCAGTGTAAAGTTCAATGTTAGGTATTGGGGACTCACATCTCCTGGACTTGAGCAGCTCCATCCCCCGGTTCTCCACCCACACAACTCAGGTGGCTCCATTCCACAGCTGCTGCTGTCCTTGGTGGTCATCCTGTTGTACTGGCATCTCCAAAATGCTCAGGTCTCTGTTGAGGCTGGGTTGCACTTTCACCAATGGCCCCTGGGCTCTTTTCAGGGACTATGACCCTGCCACAGGGTGCCAAGTCTCAATTTCTCTCCATGGCCCTTTCAATTCTAATCCGGGGGCTTCTACTGTAACAGAGGCTACACCTCCACCAATGGCCGCTGCTGCCTGCCCTCTCACAGTGCTGAGCATCAGCTGCTGTCCTTGACTTCTTTGTGACTTTGGAACCAGTAGCACGTGGGAAACTCTTACACATTACTAAGTTAGGAGGCCAGCACGAGATGCAGCCTCAGGCACCTTGGATTACAGCTTTTGTGTGCTGATCACCTGCCCAAAGATGACACTAATCCCAATGAGGAAACACTCCCAGGACATTTCCCCTCAGTGATGCTGGTCTCTTCTAAATCATGGCTGATTCTTCAGCCCTGGCTGTCCTGTATGGATTGTCCCAGCAAAGTATAGGTTTCACTTCAGCAGTGTTAGTCTCTTGTTAATCATAGCTGATTCTTAAACTCCAGCTTATTAGACACTATAGAGTCTTAATTCCAAGTGTCACATGAATGGTGCCGATAGACACTGATTCACTCTGAAACCTCACAATTTTGGCTTCCATTTTCTGCATTGTTCTCAGCATTGTCTTCGCAGCTTGCACAACAGCTCATGAAATACTGAACCCTCAATGGCTTTTCCAGGCCAAAGTTCCCAAATCCTTCATAGTCCTTCTGTAACACATGGTCATGTCTGTCATAGCAGTAGTCCACCCTGTGGTACCTGTTTTTGTTCTGCTTAGGATTACTACTGCTGTGATAACACACCATAACCAAAAGCAGATTGGGGAGGAGCGAGCAGGGGGATTGGGCAGGGACTCAAAGAAGACACCTAGAAGCAGGAACTGAAGCCAGGACTGTGGAGGATAGGCAGCATCCTATCCTCCTAACAAGGCATTAGGCAGCAATGCCTTGTTCCCCATAACTTGCTGAATCTGTTTTCTTATTGCTATCCTGGACCACCTGCCCAAAGACGACTCTGACCCCAATGAGCTGGGCCTTCCAACATCAACCAAGAAAATGCCCTGTAGACTTGCCTACAGGCCAAACTTGCGGGGACATTTTCTCAATTATGATTCTCCCTTCCCAGCTATATCCATGTTTATGTCAAGTTGAGAAAAATCAAACAGCACACACGCTCCTTACTTGAAAAACAAATAAAAGCTCTCTGAGCACAGGGAACATGTTTGCCACATAACCAAATAAACATCTACATGAATGATCCACCCTCTGCCTCCCAATACTGGGAATGGAACCCAAGGCTTTGTACATGCTAGGCAAGCGCTCTACCACTGATCTATACCCCCAGCCATATGGATGGTCCTCTTGTTTTGAAAGCAACTCACCACTAGAAATAGACAAGCACTTTAGGTGATTTAAAGAAATGTCAGTGACATTCCTATTAAAGTGTGGAGTGAAACACAGATACCCAGTTTCACCACCATTTGCCTAGTATTACATCCTCAATTCTACTTAAGAAAAAAAAATGCTAGAGTTTTTAACTATAAGTCAATAACATCTCCTACTTACTTGATGTACTAATCACCTAAAAAAAAGTCACATGTAATATACACAAAAATTTAGCCCAGTAGCTCTAATCTCTTAAAAACCACTATTTTGCTCAAACTAAAACAATGCCCCATCTCTTCAACATTTTAAACCACTGGGCCCAAGAATCAGAGTGGCTTCTACCATGAGGGATCCCCAGACTGGGTGGTAAACTGCAACTAAGTGTACCTATGAGATAAAATGTCTCAGAAGAAGTGATTCTTAAGTGGAGTCCAGATCATCAGCAAACAATATCATTTTAAAGAAAAGGTTTATATTGTAAATTGCCACCTTCACATGGGCTGTCCACACTGTCACCTGGCAGGTTTCACTGTAAGTCCAGGAGCCTATTATTTGGGAGAGCATTAATCCTGTGAAACACTTATATAAACCTTTCATAAAGAAATGCTTGAAGAAATCTAATCTGCTGTAATCTGATTACTCTAACAGATTTAGGTGGCTCAGTAGTTGGCCTATTATTATTTAACAAATACCTTCTTATTTTTAACTTGAACTTTAAGCTCTGATAAGACAATATGATTAATTAGAGCACTTGAGACATAGCCTGAAATTGATGACTGGGGAGCATCAAGGTTTGTTACTCCCCTGTAACTATGGTTTTCATGAGTTGACTGTTACATTCTAGGACTTACTAGTTCTCCCTGTCTCTCTTCAGGGACATAGGAAGCAGAGCAGCTGTGTGACTGGTGGTCTCTGCTTGAATGTTCTCTCTCTTCTTCCCATAAGCCATCTCTCCTGCCCGCATCCTACCATTGCTGCCACTAAGTCTCATGAAATTAATTTCAAACGTGTGACTAACTAAAACAATTCCTTCTTTTCTAGGATTGTAGAAATCTATAGTAGAAGACTACAAGGTAAACATTTACAATCCTTATTTACAGAAAACATTTTCCCCACAGAACAAATAGTTTTACTCTGTTACAAGTGTAGTAAATAAAAAGGGCAGAAATGGAGCCCTGCGAGGGAGGTACAAGGCAGTCTGTTTAAGCCTGTGGAGGAAACCCTGCCATGCTTTTGTATTCCTCTGTGTTAATACATGTGTCAACATTTTCAAGTCATATTTAAACTAAGGTGGGCACATCTGTGGTTGGCCTCGCCCTCCCATTTCCTTTTCACTTAACACATATTGAACAAACCCCACACCTCACACCCCTCACATGTCATTTCTTTCTGTGGCTGTTTCCAATTGCATTGTGTGGACTAATCCCCTAGCCAGTCTCTGTCCTGGTAGACATTTGGGGATTTTTGTCAGTTTTTCAACATTGGCATGATTCTGAGAACACCTTTGTATGCATTCAAAGACAAGTTGTTTCTGTCAGCATTAGTAACTGAATTATTTAGGTTCCAGCATTGGTTTTCAACAGCCCAGCAGTTAGCTTCCATGCTTAATCTGCTGCAAGGTAATTAATTTTTCACTCCACTCTACATCTATGGGGATGCGTGGGAACCAGGTGCTGGAGGCCAGGGGTTTCCCCTAGACCTGAGTGCTCTTGAGGACACAGACCAGGGTCTTCCTTGAGACATAGCAGACAGAATAGTCTTGGAGAAAGCTGGCATGTGTTGGATGTTAAATCCCCAGAGGTCTGCTTTGTAAGATCACAAATATTCTATAGAAAAAAAAAAAAAAGAAAGAAAAAGAAAAAAAAATCTTCCAGTTCTTTGTGTCTGGCTTTTAAACCTATCTCTCTGCCACACCCCACAGTTCAAGAGCGCCTCACCAAACAGATTGCGGTGGCCATCACAGAAGCCTTGCAGCCTGCTGGCGTTGGGGTAGTGATTGAAGCAACGTAAGTCCGAACCGCCTTTGATAAGGTCTCAGTAGCAGCAACATGACCTCCACCTTTAGTGCCACTCTGCTTCTCTAGGACCAAGCAAGGGCCACTTGCTGCTGCTGGTGACTTCCACCCATGGGCCTGCAGCTGCTTTTCTCCTTCCCCAGGAGCCAGGGGGTGGAAAGGAGATTTTTGTGTTGTTTTTGATCTTATTTGAATCCTGGGCACGTGTGTGCTGGTGGTGTTTATGGAGGCCTGAGGTAGTCGAAGGCCCCCTGAAATGGGTCCCAGTAGCCACACTCAGTCATTTGATGTTCTCTTCATCATTGAGCCATCACCAGCCCCTGGTTTTTGTTTTTCTCTCTTGTGAGAACTTTTAGCTTTTGGGAGTCAGATGTATCATTGCAGAATTCTATGTGTCCAGGCAGTAGTATTTTTGTGTCTTGCCTTTTTCCTTAGCTTTTTTTGTGACTGAGCATTTGCCAAATAGGAAAAAAAAAAGTAAATTGGTAGAAAGGGCAATCAAAGACATGGTTTTTTAAAAAGAACAGTGCCAGGCGTTGGTGGCACATGCCTTTAATCTCAGCATTCCGGAGGCAGAGGCAGAGGCAGGCGGATCTCTGTGAGTTGGAGGCCAGCCTGGTCTCCAGAGCGAGTGCCAGGATAGGCTCCAAAGCTACACGGAGAAATCCTGTCTTGAAAAAAAGAACATATGTTTTCTATTTTTCAATTTAACTGTTAACTGAGGCTTTGGTAAACACGAAAACAACCTGCTGATAATCTACAACGCGGTGTTTTGATAGCTATAAGACTGTAGTGTTTAAATGGGGGTTAACTACCTTTTACTCCCCAGACATTTCATCATTCCTCTATAAGCAAAACAATTCAAATGCTTCCTCCTGCCTTTTGAAATAATGCAAACAACATTGTCATCTCTGCTCACCCCATGCTACAACAGCAGGCCAGATTTCTCACTGGGTTTAGCTGTAACTCGGAGCCCATCTACCCAGCTCGGTGCTTTCAGCCTCTGGGAAGCGCTGTTGTGTTCCGTGAGATCAACTCTCTCAGATCCCACGTCGGAGCGTGCACTTTCTGTGTCTGCCTTATTTCATTTCCCACACTGATCCCCAGACATCGGAGGGGGTTATGAGAATCACATGCATTGTGCAGGCAGTCCTCCCCATGCTAGGGCAGCCCCGGAGCTCTGCCCTGTGCATGCTATCTGCCTCTACCTTGTTGCTTAGCCATACTGACTGTTCTACCTTCATTCTGCTGGCAAGACCGTGTCCGAGAGCACCTCTCAGGACGATGTTGTGGCACAGAGCCATCATGGTACTGAGAGTGGCACAAGCACGACTTCTGAATTTCTTTTGGTTTAGAACTTTCGTGCTTCTTCACCCAGGAAGGACATCTGGCTTTCCCCTCCCGGGTGGTTGCATCAAGTGCTAACTGGAAATAGGAATAAAAGCTGTAGGACATAAAATGATCCAAGGAAAAGTTTAATATTCTCATGGGGAGTGGTGTTTTGACATGGTTGATAACTGTGAACTGCATTTAGTCTTTGCCCTGCTTTTTATTTAACTAAAAATAAGACAGCTCTGTCTATGCCTTTAAACCAGCTCTGTTGACTTATTTTATAGACACATGTGTATGGTAATGCGAGGGGTGCAGAAAATGAACAGCAAGACTGTGACCAGCACCATGCTGGGGGTGTTTCGGGAAGACCCAAAGACTCGGGAAGAGTTCCTCACACTCATCAGGAGCTGAACTTCCGTGTGTGCACATGACCTGGTTTGCAGACCCCACTGCTACCGGCGTTATCTGTCTCAATCATGCATTCCAGTCTCAATTGTTACAGATGTGAATTTTATTTCTCACCATGGATTGTATTTAATGATTATTTATAGATATGTCAAATAAAAGTAATTAAGGCGTGAGCCTTCTGCTTTCTTCTTGCCACCTTGTTAGTGGCAATGTCTAAAGTGAACTGCCAAGAGTATAGGTCATCCACATGGACCACTGCCATTCAGGTTCCCCCAGGGTGCTGTCGACGAGGAGAACTCATGTGCTTGGTTGAAATCATTAGCAAAGGGCACTGGACATTTGAGGAGCTGTGGCCACTGTGCCAGGTTTTTCACCTCTAGTGGACATAGTATAACTCTGAAGGAAGTGCTGGGGACAGTAGATATACAGAGAGCATTGCTGTCTGCATTTAGAGACCCCCAGACCCCGCTCTGCATTGATCATGTTTGTGAATCACCAGGGACATTCTACTCAATATATTCATTGACTGTCTACCTGTAACGCTAGTCTCTGACGGAAGGTGGTGGGATACCTGTCTTTAATTTTGCTGTGCCTTATAAAGGCAACTTCTATATTTTAAAATTTGAGTAGAGGAAATTCATTCCTGGAGTTGTTTTCATGAGTTCATTTTCATGTCAGCATACATGGATGGAGAGGGTTGACTCTGTGCCTTGATGAGAATGTTGAACCACTTGGAGTGTAGGTACTTTTGCCATCCTTTAGGAAAAGCCATTACTTCCTAAATTTATAAGTGCCAACTCTGCCGACTTCCTGTTTGGGAGTTTATTTTGTCTATTCTGAGGAGATGCTTCATCACGTTTCAAAAACCCTTAGGAAGTATTTTTCTAAGTATTTCCAGGGTCTTTTGAAACTGCCTATCCTGTGAGCTCCGCAGACTCCTAGTTCCTCTGGACCGGGAAGAACATAGAATGGGCTGAGGGAGGACTGCATGGGGGCTGTGCCTGCAGGTCTAGGCCAAGCCATACTGTTGCTGCTGGTGTCTGCAGATGCACTGGGGATATCAGTCTAGTTTCTTTCTTGTCGGTGTGTGTCTTGTCTTTAGTACAAGTGTGTTCAGATGCTGTAGCTGTTCAGGAAGTTTGGCTTATTACCACTTACTTTAAATATCCTGCATTGGGGCAGTGTGGGCCAAGTTAAAGCACAGCATGTAGCCCCCCCCATGCACTCATGCACACACATGTGCGTGAGTACACACACACACACACACACACACACACACACACCTGGTCCATGAAGAGGTCTCCCACTGGCTGACAGTGCTGTCAATGTATCCCTGTAGTCCCACCACTGCCACTTAGATACTCATTAGCCTATGATGAAGCAAGATGATGGAGCTGGCTTTTTATTTTATTACTATTACTTTTTTTTATCTCTGCCTTTCCCTGGCACTTTCTATATTTAGAGTTTCTAAAGCATAGTCAGGTTGGTTTTGAGTTCCTTTTAAAATCTGATAACAATGTTAGCCCACTTACTATTCAAACATTTCTAGGTAGAATGCTAAGTTCTCATGTTTGGTATTTTAAAGTAAAAACCAATGTGACTTGACTTAGAGGGCCAAAGAAATTGTTCGCCATACCTTCATCTTTTTGGAGTGATCATTTGTATCCCTTCTGAATGGCTCTGTTGGCTCATTCCCTAGAAATTCTTAACAAAAGCCTGACATGTCCACAGGCTAGTCTTGTCAGTACCTGCAAAGTGACAACCTTGTCTGTTTCATTCTGGTGTAGTGCTTCAAAATTGCCTTTCACATCCATGACATTGAGTCCATTTGGGGGATTTTTAAGAATTTGATGTATTTACATATACTGTTCAATTACATGGTTTGGATTTTCTGTATGTGTATGTATGTTCCTGAAGTTGGTTTTATTTAAATGATTAAAGTGTTATAATTTTGTTTCTGTGAATGGCTCTTTTTCAATCACCAGTGTAAACACAGTGTATCAATTCATTTGATTGTTTTGGTTTTGTTTATCGAAAATACCCATTATTGAGGCTTTGCTCATCCAGTAAAGTGTTAGAGTACATATCTCCACGATAACACAATGTGAGGCTCTGATAGTTCCTCTTGGGTGTATAATGGGAGTGTTACTAACTCCAGCCTCTTGCTGGTGTTGGGAAAGGGAGGTCTCCGGTAGCTGCAGCCTCCTGGGGACACACAGCTCCTGTGTGAGAAGCTGGTGAAGAAGGAGGGTGGCTAGGGGCAGGGAGTAGAAAGGGGTTGTCCTCTTCTTTAGGAGGGCTCTCCCTGGGGACAACCAGAAGTGAGATGCAAAGGGTTTTGCTGTTTTTCTCTGCTCTGCGTCTGAGTCCATGTGCCTTCTTACTCATGGCCTTCTGTTATTGCTCTCCCTGGACATGATTCCAGCTCTCACTGGTTGTCTGTGTGTCTAGGTTCCAGGCATTGGAGTGTCCCACTACCACTTACCATACCCTGCAGATGTTGAGTGTTGAACCTGGCATTCTGAGGAATGCTCACTGATATAAAATAACTCCTAAAACAAAGTTCCAGATGTCAGAACTGAAATGCCCAGCTAAGCCCAGTCTGTTGGTCCTGAGATTTCTCTGAAGCCTATATATGCCCTTAGTCACCCAAAGTCCAAAGGAAAGCTTTCCAGAGGCAATGCACGCCTTAATCCCTGCACTCATGAGGCAGAGGCCATACATTTTTGTGACTCCAAGGACATCCAGGGCTACACAGTAAGACCCTGTCTCAAACAAAAAACAAAACAACCCCCAAACCAAAACCAACCAAACAAACAAAAACCCCAAACAAACAAACAAAAACCCAACAACAACAAAACCAATTCAAGGCTTTCTACCAGCCTATTGTGACAGGCACAGGTCTTTTTCATAGACAGAGAGAAGAGCAAGCCTTAGGAGATGAGTCCAAGGGAAAGTGAATCCTAACTACCGTATTTCCCCCAAAGAAACCTGGCTTGTTTTATTTATTTTTTTGCTACTGTGCAAAATAAAATGTGTGCAGCAGTAGAGACACTAGCATGTGAACCCCAGACACTTCTTACAGCTTCTGATATCTTGTCTAAACCTCTACACCTCCACCCCAGCTAGACTGTTGGGAAACAATTCTTAGGCACTGTTTCTCCTCTTCCTCTTCCTTCTCTTTTCCTTCCTCCTCCTTCCTTCTTCCCTCCCGCTCTTCCTTTCCTTCATTTCTTCTTCCTCTTCCTCCTTATCCTTCTCTCTTCTCTGGTTCTGCCCTTTTGAAGCAGGCTTCAGTTTTAAAATATCTGCCACGCGGCTTCTTTAGCTTCAATTTAGAGGGTTGATTGGCTGCCAAGATTTTGGTTAAGGTGGAAGGTTGTGCTAGAACTGGGAATAATAAGCCTACAAAACTTTGCATCTCCTCTAAGACCTATCCCTAGGAACTCCAAGAACTAGATTGGGCTGGAGGAGTACTTGGATTTCTCCACCCTTATCTTCAGTTCCATTTTGGTTACCCTCTGAGCAGGAAAATCTGAGCAGGAGTGGGAGGAGAGTGACACGTCAGGTCTTGAACCTCTGTCTCTCTGCTTCCTTCCTCCCTCTCCCCTCTTATTTTCCAGGCAAGCAAGCATTGATCTCCAGCCCCAGCCCTGCAGCAGTCCCTTCCATTGTCTCCCTCACAGGGTAGCAGCTCCCTTCTGAGTCATGGTAGGGTCAACCTCTAACTTGCCTGTGACTGCCTTAATGCTCTGTGCTCCTTTCTACATTCTGCTGCTTGTTTTGCACAAGATGTGCACAACTCTGACCTCTTGGGAGCTCCCTCAGCTTCTGGAACTGACTCTGCTGGCCAGAGAAACAGGGTTTGATGGTTGATGAGCACCTGGGAGGTTGGGCTGAGGTGACCCTGTGGTGGGATGCCTGGCTTGTTGGTTATTTTTTTCTGACTTTAGGAGGTGGAATTCTTCCTCTCCTGCCCTTTGCTGGATCTTCACACTTGAAAACACTCTGAATAGGTAGGCAAATAAGACATGTTTCTGATTTGTGTTTGTATTTTTTTTTATTACGTATGTGGTGATGCTAGGGTCTTTTTGTTTGTTTGTTTGTTTGTTTTTTATAGCCTGTTCTGTCTTGACTGTAAATTTCTTTGTGGAGGTCTTTTCATTTGTTTTTTTTTTTTTTTTTCTCTTAAGGGCTTTTTACTTGTAGAACAGAGATATACACTGAAAGTGTCAAGGAAAGCTGGTGCAGGGGATATACTTGTGTTCATAAAGTGCTTGCTGCATAAGTGTGAGGATCTAAGTTTAGATCCCATCGCCCATATAAAAGCCAGGGGCAGTAGCACACCTGTGTAACCCCAATTCTGGAAGGCGGGTCCTCCCCGGTCCCCAGAGCTCACTGGCTAGCCAGTCCTGCTGAGCCGCAAGTTCAGTAAGAGACTATCTCAAAAATCAAGGTGAATGTGATTGAGGAAGATACCTGACATTGATGTCTGACCTTGGCATACAAGCAAGCATGTGAACCTGTGTGTTTGTACACCACACACACACACACACACACACACACACACACACACACACACACACACACACACAGAGCACACACCATACACACACCATACACACCATATACTCACAACACACACACACATGCACCATATACACACAACACACACACTATACACACACATCACACACACACCACACCACACACACACACACACACACACACACACACACACACACACCACACAAATCACATACACACCATACCACACCACACACACACACATACACACCACACACACACACACACACACACACACACACACACACACACACTGCAGCTTAAAACAATTCTGAGTGGCAGGGTCTGATATAGCCTGAATTAAATTTTCAAACTGTCTTAAAATTACATTTCATAGGTGTTCCTGTGCCTAGCACAAAGTTCAGATAACAAAATGTCCCAACTGTGGCATGTGTGACTCTAGAGTGGGGAGTGGCTTCTGGACGTTTCAGAATGTAAAGTTCTTCTGACTATTTTTATGGAGTTCTTTTAAAGTTAGTAGATGCAGTGCCGGGTGGTGCATGCTTTTGAATTGAGCACTCGGGAGGCAGAGGCAGGCTGATCTTTATGAGTTCGAGGCCAGCCTGCTCTACAAAGCTACATAGAAGAAACCCTGTCTCGAAAAATCAAACAAACAAATAAGTTAGTGGATGCTAACCAAGAAAAATGGAAAAGCAAAAATATCTGCATAAAAGAAGTGTCACTTTGCAGAGCTTTTAACACCCTGGCCTAAGAAAATGAGGGCCTGGGAGCTGAGTACCAAGGCAGAACCTCCTGAAATCTGGTTTCCTTCTGCCTTTGCTTCATTAGGTCTTATAACACACCCTGGCACAAGCTCTGAAAGACCCAACAGATAGAGAAAAAGTCTCCCTCTTTTCCTGCCACCCAGCACCCTTCCCTACCGCTCCCATTTTCTTATGTATTCTTCCAAAAGGATCTCAAGCACATCCACACACGTTTATTTATGTCAGGGATTCTCAGTCACACGTGCCTCCCCCAAACCACCTAGGAAACTTTGTCAATACATATGCCTGCACCCTATGGAGAGCTACTCAGTATCCTACAATTGTGTTTTGGGAGAAAAAAAAAAAAAAAAAAAACCCTTGGTTATTCCAGCGAGCTCCTTCTGTTGAGAACTACTAGCTAAAAATACAATTCCTCAGACCCAGGGAACCAGACCACCTGGAAACTAGTACTTTGCTGCTTGGGCAATTTGGGCAGAGAACGAACGAATGTGCATGGATTATTGTGGGAAAATGGGCTCCAGCATCCGGTTGAGGCAGTTAAGAGTATCTGCAATCACTCAGTTGATAAGTCTAAAGGTAAATTGCCCCTTAAGAGAGCCTGTCTCTAGATGAATACAATCAGTGCTTCAATTACCTATGTATGAATAACTTATTTCTGAACCTATCCTGCTTCCACCCCCTGACTCATGGAAAACTTAGAAAATAGAGTGAGGTGAAAAGAAAAATACTGGTTTACTAAATTGTGTAACTCAGAAGTGACTACTGTTAATATTTGTTTTCTTTCATTTTATTAATTGTGTAATATATATATATGTGTGTGTGTGTGTGTGTGTGTGTGTGTGTGTGTGTGTGATTTAAAGCAATTTCATCCAGACATAATTTCCCCCACTTTTATCAGGATGTATTACTGATGGTTAAGGAGTAAAGAGTTAAACAAAACCCCACTCCACCCCCAATGTATAAGGATTGATTCCTATATAATTCTGACTCTGCCTTGGTCTGTCCCAGACAGTTTTAAACTTAGATTCAGACTTTGACATCTAGCCCTCCACTCTCTGCCCCATCTTCCTTGGAGATGCTACGGTTCACATAGCTCTCCCTCCCCTTCCTTGGTATGGCCATATCTTTATAGCTTTATTTAAAGAGTTGCAGGGAATTCTAAATTATAAATAACACAGGCAACAATTATTTTCATGATGACAAATCTTTAATTGTTTCTAGTTTCTTGGGACAAATAATGTTATAGTGAACACCTCTATTTCCAGAGGGTAGGATTCTAGTGTGGAATCCTTGAAACGAAATAACTCATCTGCCTCTTTTCCAAAAGTAGCAAGAATGGATGTCTTCAGATGATCAATTTGCCTGTCTCTGGCTCTTGTATGGTACAGTTGTCCTCATAAACTTTTATTTTCTGGGGGGTGGGGTGCAAATTAAAGCAAGCTTTATTCTATTTGTGCCACAACAGGCTGGTGATTGCACTATGGTGACATAACTGTGCCCTCTTCTTCTTCTTCTTCTTTTTTTTTTTTTTGCAGATTTTTTTTATTTGAATTAGAAACAAGATTGTTTTACACGACAATCCCAGTTCCCTTCTCCCTCCCGTCCTCCCCTACCACCCCTCCCAACTAAAACCCTACCTATCACATATCCCT